GGGAAGTACTCCTCAAGGGCAGGACATGGCCTCAGGCAGCCTGGGATCGCCGTGGGCAATGCTTAGGGTTCAGGGTTTAGGGTTTTAGGGCTTTAGGGTTTTGGGGTTTAGGTTTAAGTTTAGGGTGCCAATGCCCGAAGATACTCCTGGCTCCTTCACAGCGGCTAAATTGTTGAGCTTGTGGAAGCAAGCCAGACGGAGGATGAACCGCTCGGCTTGCCGAAGCTACATCTGTGGCGACCTTTTCATGGCTATGCTGTGCTTTCTGTGCCAAAGGCGCCTTCTTCGCCGCTGGTTGCAGACTAACCCCAAACAGAGGCTGGAAAGCGTCAGGTTTAAATCGGTTTAGATTGCACTTGCAATCATTTGACATAGATTCATCTGTAGCTTAAGGGAGTTTCCTTGTTTGAGGACACCAAATCCTCACCCCAAAACCTAAACCGTAGTCAGTACTCTCCGGACCGTAAAGCCTCAACTCGAAACCCTGCCATACTTAAACCCCGAAGCCCCAAGCCCTTGAAATTCTGGGCCTTGGGTACTACCCCGTCGCAGTTTCTGCATGGTCATATTACAATAAACCCCGAACCCCTATTCTATATGCAGAGGCCATGCACGAAGCCCTGAAGCAAACGCAAGTCTAAGCCCTAAACACTTGAAGTACATGCAAATCTATAGACCACTGCAGGAAGAAAGCTCACAATACCTTTTACACAGGCAGATTCGAACGGCAGAGCCTTGGATTTTTGTGGAACTTTACGGTACAGTTATAGTGCCCCTTCTAAAGCCTTTTAGAACCCTCTTCAGAACCCTGAGACTACCCTTTTCGAACCCTGATAGACAGGTCTCCGGCAGCGGCACAGCCGCTCCGGCAGGCTCTGGCTGGTCCCTTTTTCTCGGCATTTCGGGGCGTTCTACAGGTTGCTTCAGTAGCCCTTCACTAGTCACTTGTTGTGTTGCGGGACTTCGTACGGTCATAAGTTTGTTTCACGTGCTTTCAGTCTGTCTTCGTGTTTGCTTCGGCTTCAACCGTGGGCGATTACGATATTCAGATTGCTATATCCCGATTGTCTCATGGGGCTTAGGGTGTCAAGCTTGGGGTCCAGGGGTTTGGTTCAGCATACTGCTTAAGGCAGGTCCGAAGCCAGACTTGCTTAAACCGCGTCTGGCATCCAACTAGAAGACTTGCATGCGGCTTCGAAGTGTAGGGTTTACCTTAAACCCTAAACCCATAAACCCTAAGCCCAAGAAGCCTGAACTGCGAACAGGAGCGGATTGCTGAAGACACATAGATACACAGACACAGACGCAGACAGTCAAGGTGGGATTCTGTCAGCTCAGAGCCGTGACCGCACACCTCGACTCGGAGGGGATGCTCCAAGAGTTCTGCAGCTGTGAAGAAGCCATCGACGTTTAAGCCAGCGTATACCCAACTCTTCAGGGACCCGGCTGGAACCTTGCGCCGATGTCACTCGTCGTACCGATGCTGCCTCCCTCCACCGCTGCAGCTTCCTCCAAGCAAAGGGCACGGCTGGAGAAGATCCGTAGTTCCTGGAGCAGTCGGCGAGGATGCTGCGACGTACGCCGAAGGGCTCCAAAAACCGAGCCCTCAGGCGAATGGCTGTGACAGACTGCAGCGAGTCCTCATGGACGAATGTTTAGTAAAGAGCTCCTTGGGTGGCATGAGACGCGCCAGGTAGGCGTAGGCTGCAAGAGCTCAGCAGAGTGCACAGACGAATGACTGCACCGACATGCGTCAGTAAGTACATGAGAGTCTTGCTGTGCTGTTGAAGGGGTACCGCAAGGGTACAATACCATGATGGCTCTAAACGTATTCTACAAGGCTTAGTAAAGGCCTAGTGGAACTAGCAAGTTGCACAGGAGCAACATGACGAAACTGCGAATCAGCGTAGGCCGGGATGAGAAAGTTCAATTTTTGTGGTCCCATCCAGGCTTGGTTTTTAACCCACCGACCCATGCCGAAACCCTGAGTCCTTAAGCCCTATGCACCTGTATGTAGCCGCATAAACCCTAAACTTCCTAAACCCCAAGCCGGCAACTCGCTGGAATCCCAAACCCGCGGATCACACAACTACAGCTCCAGATCCTATAACAGATGCGAAGACAAACCCTACCACGGCCCTATAAATGCCCCCAAACCTCGAAGCCCGAAGATTTTTACTTAGGGTTTTAACTTACGGCACGAAGCCCCAAACATTTCTGAAGGTGTGTATTCTTGAATGGAGAGGCAGTTCGCGGTCTAAAGACATGTAAACAAGCCTGATTATACAACCGTGCGCAACCCCGTGTTGAAAGCCTACCGTACCCAACCGCACTAAGTTCAATGCCACCCTAAACTCTAAACCCCATAATATGTATATACAATATTATATATTATAATATGACCTAATCTAATCTAACCTAAATCGAATCTAACCCAACCTAACCTAATCTAATCTAATCTAATCCAATGTAATTGAACATTATATATATATAGATATACATATATATATATAGAGTGTATATATTGATGTATAACGATAGGCTTCTGGTTATATATATATATACACACATGCATGCATAGACATACATACATATGCATGTGTGTGTGTATATATATATATGTGTGTGTATACATGTATATATATATATACACAAAGATACATACGCATAAACCCATCAAACCTGGGCGCAAGGGCTTCGTGCAGCCTCCGAGCGACGTCTTCTGCCAGCGCCTTTGGGAGCGTCGGGGTTTCGGGCTTGAGGCATTGGGTTCGGGGTTTTAGGGTTTTTTGGGTTCTAGGGTGTTAGGGTTTGGGGCTTTAGGGCTTAGGGTTTTAGGGTTTAGGGTGTGGGGCTTTAGGGTTTAGGGTTTGGGTTTTAGGGCTTTGGGGTTTTAGGGTTTCGGGTTTAGGATTTAGGGTTTTAGGGTTTGGGGTTTAGGGTTTGGGTTTTCGGGTTTGGGGTTTGGGGGGGCGGTTTCGGATTTGAGGGGCAGAGCCCGGTGGACTTTTCGGTAATGTAGAAACCTTAAACCCAAACCCCCAAAAACACTAAGTTAGGAGGGTAAAGTTTAGGGGTTCTGTGTCTTGGAGATGCAGCCTTTGGTCCAAGTTGACCGAAGAGGATGTAGGGGCATGTCAGGGTTTCGGGAATAGGGTGTTGGGGTGTTGGGTGCAAGCTTTAAGTCCTCGGGTCTCGCCTTGGTTTGTCTTTTGTTTGGTTGGTTGTGTGTTTGTGTGTGTTTTGTTTGAGGGGGGCGGCGGACTTCAGCGTGCCAGGGACCCTGAGTCGTAAACCTGCTTCCTCCAGTACTGAACTTTTTAACTACCATAACATAGCTATTATGGCAGGTACTTATGAGTATATCATACCTCAAACTACCATAACATAGATAGCTTTTTGGTAGGCCCCTATCATTTTTTAAAATCAGGTGCCCAGCCGGCGTGGACACAACGCGCCACGATCTGACTCCCGTCTGAAAAAACTTACGCAACTGTCGCGACAGAGTGGGCGTGCGACCTTTCGGACCTGTCCGGCAAAGCCGGACCGGCATCAGCAGCTGATATAAGATCAACGAATATATTATACTCTAATATTACTACATAACATAATCTGATATACAGGATTATCTAGTATAATGCCTAGACCCTAAACCCTGAACCCGTTTTCCGGGCTTACATCCGGGCGCTTGAGGATCGGGAGGCCCAGCGCCACGGGCCGAATGGCTGGAAAGCCAGGATCGATGCAGCGCCTGGGGACCGGTGCCGGACATGCAGCTAAAAGGGTAGTTCTCTAAATTAGGGTCCCTTTTTATTTTAGGTCACCGAAATAGTGCGGCACCTTTGTAAAAGGGATCCAAAAAGAGGACCCTTAGAAAAGAGAACCACCCAGAAACGGAACAGACAATGCTTTTCGGGTTTCTGGCTCGGAGGGAGGACGGGCCCTGGTACCTAAATGACCCCAAGATGCCCCCACGGTTTAGGGTTCAGGGTTTAGGGTTTAGGGCAGCGCACGTTAGGCCAGCACCGTAGACACTGCAGCCCTACAGCTTCCATAGTCCAAAGCCTCTAACGGAACCCTTCACCCTGAAACCTGAAGCCTGAGTTCCCCAATACCCAACCTTTCAACTCTTTGGGTTCTTATATTTCAGTAGTGGGCTGAAAGTTTAACCTGTTATTCCCCTGGCTTCTTGGGGAAGTAAGAACCCGCAAAGCCGCAAGCTTCCGTCGTTCACGGCGAAGCGGCCCAGAGGCCCCGGACAACGTTGCGCTGGTCTTTGTCAAGCCTCATGCCTGCACCCCTCAGGCAGGAGGAGGTTGAGGGCTACGGAGGTTTCCCCCTGGCATCCACAGCACCCTAGACCCTAAACCCTAAGGCCCTAAGCACCCTAAGCCCTACACCCCGCATGTTTCGGGTGGCAGGCCTCAGCAGTTTCCAAAAAAAAACATCGGTTCCTTAGTCTTCTGATCAATCGCTGCCGGGTCCGGGGCCTGAAACCCTGAATCAAAACAGGCCTTGGAGACCTTAGCAAGCTCGAAGCTCGAACAAGGGGCCATAATTCGAAGAGGCCTTGGGAGCATCAAGGGGATATGGTTGCAATCTAAGCCTTATGATTATACGAATAAGACTTGGATGGAAGGACCTCCCCATGCAAGGTCGCAGTGGGACTCTGGTCACCCCACGCATGCATGCAAGAGTGGGTCCCTTCGAGCTACTTGGGACTTTCCGAAAATTAGGGTTCCCTATTTTGGGGTCCTTGTAATAATGATCCTGCTATTTAGCGTACTATATTAGAGTCCCCTATTTTCGGAAACCCCCCACTTGTAAATCGGATTCTCGATAACAACCCCTCCCTTCCTCGTAGTCGAGCCTCTCCGGCCATGGCCTTGGCGGAACTGCAAAGTCCGTAAAGCCCGCTCGCAGCTTAGATTGGCGTGAGCGCCAGCCGGGTAGCGGTAGCACCGGACTGATCGGCCCCTACGGCGTCGCCGTACGGGCCGATGAGTCCGGTGCCCGGAGCTTCGATGTTTCGCTCAAGCAACGATCAGAGGTTGCCTCGTGACATTGGTCAGAGACGTGGCCACAACACGAAAGCCATAACGAAGTATGACCTCTCTTCCCTTCTGGATGATTCGTCGATTGGTGTCACCTTTTGGGACACCTGGGGTATCTGCGAGGGCGAGACTTGCCAATTCCGAGATTTTTCAGAAGCATTTCTCCAAAACTTGACTGATGGCAAAGTCCCGGATGGCTTTCATCTCAAGGAGTATGATGCACACAAAGGTATCTTCAATGAGATCAACGGTCACCAGATGTTCTCGGAAGCTCATCGCATGCATGGTGTCTTGTTCTTCATGAGGTACGAGCATCCACCATGGTGGTCTTAACCTGGTTGCAGACGGCATGTGAGAAAAACAACACAGCTGCCTGCGAGAATGAAAGGGTGGAAAAGGTGTCCAAGGCTCTTGATGTTCCACCCAGTACAATCTTTCCATTTACTCGTGGAAGCGTGACACAGTTGCGCTACAAGGATTCGACAGCAGGCTTGGCGAAATAGAAGAGTTTTGCTGCTGTGTCCTTGCAGTCTGCAGAACTTTCGGATCTCCTTTGATTTCGGAAACCAGGTAAGCATGTACGGGTTGAAGATCCTGCAGACGGCGATGGACAATGCCGAGCAGTTTTCCAAGTCCATGGAGCTTGCACACCAGAAGTCTATCAGAGAGCGGGCTGAAAAGGCAGGACAAGAGCAGGCAGACAGAAAGGAAGCTCAACATAACCCCTAAACACACACATTAGCATGTCTTCGGACCCATATACAACCCCCCCAACCCATGCACGCTCAAACGCATGAAGCCTTGAATCGTGGGTGGGCCTTTAAGCGCGATTAACTCTTGGGCTCAAGCTCTCCGCCCCTAGCCCCTAATCCTAGGTTCCTGAGTATAGTACCCTTTTGCCCTTTTCATGTTAGAGTTCCCTCATCGAAACTAAATAGCAGCACAAATGGGTGCCCTTATTGTTAAGGGGGCGCAGGGGAACCCAGAAATGTCTAAACCCCAATTATCCCTAGGCAATCAAGCCTGAGCCAACAGCCCACCCTACGGCAGAAGCCACAAAGCCCAGCTCCTTGGGTCCGAAGTTTTCAGCCACAACGACCTCAAACAAGCTACGCCACACCAAACCCTGGTCAATCTTTGTCAGGCCTCTGTATTGCACTTAGACCTTGCTATTGAAGCGCTTCTAAAGCCTCAACCCCCTAAACCCTCTAAACCCTAAACCCCTAAACCCTAAACCCTAAATCCTAAACCCCCAAACCCAAAACCCCTAAATCCTAAACCCCTAAACCTTAAGCCGTTATAAGAGCCCGCGAGAGGTCTTGGAGATGCTCCCACGCTTCCTGGAGGGGCGGGGCCTCGAGGTTGGCATTGGCTCTCTGGCTTTGGGGTTTAGGGTTTAGGGTTTGGGGTATGGGGGTTTGGGGTTTAGGGTTT